TCTTAATGAATAGAGTGATTTGTTCTAATGGTGTTTGTAAATAGGATATCATGTCTGCATCTTGCACAGCAATTAGCCACTAGGAAGAATGTATGCAATGTGTTAATTATTGAAACTGTCCTACCAATTTAATTGTCTCATTGGTATTTGTTTATCAATAAAATTACGGGAAAAAAAGAAAAATTTGATGCACATCTCATCCAGTATGCTCCAGTGGTTAAGTCATGCATAATTGTATTAAAATATCAAAACCAGAAAGTTGACATTGGTGTAATGTGCTTGCTTCTAAGTCTTCAGCATTTTATCACATATATACATTTTTGTAAAAATCAATGAAATCAAGATTCAGAATTATTCCACAAACACAAAGATGAGCCCTCAGGCTGGGGAGACAGCTCAGTAGTCCAGGTGCCTGCCTGGTAAGCACAAGTACCTGAGTTTGATCCCTGGTACCTCATGTTGTGCTGTTTCCAGAACCCTGGGCACACCATGCAGGCCCCAACACTGGGCATGGTGGCACAAGTCAGTAATCCTAGTACTGGGGAGGCTGAGACAGGAGAATCAGCATGAGTCTGGTGAGACCCTACACCAAATAAATAAATAAATCTTTAAGTATTTTTTAAATTAGCACTGCCCTTTACCTATATACCTATAGAGTCCCTCCTGCTCTGGATTCCCATCACTCAAAACATGGGATAGCCATTAATGTTTCAAATCCCTATAATTTTATAATTTTATGATTTCATACTATTCTATAATGTAGTCATATAGTTTGAGACCTTTGGAGATTAGCCATTATGTCCTTGTGACATTATGTCCATTATGACTATGTGTATATCAATAGTTTGTTTCTTGTTAATGCTGAATAATATCTATCCTATGTGTGTAACTAATGTATATATTCACATTTAAGGAGATGTTTTGTAGATAGTATATATCTGGGTTGTATTTTAATAGACTTAGAATCTATTAATTTATGCATTCAGAGCATTTTTATTGTATTGTTCCTTTCTTATGTTTTTCTTTCTGATGATCCTGTTACCTATATTTTTTAGAAATGCATGTTCAAAATATATTTATAATTTTAGAAATATATATACCAGAAATATATGAATATGTATGTATGTATGTATGTATGTAGTGTGTGTGTGTGTGTGTATGAAAGAGAAAAAGACACAGAGACAGAGAGAAAGATGGCATGGGGATTAAATACAAGGGCTTTGCACTAATCTACATCCTCAGCCCTGTTTAAAAAAATTTGAGACAAGACCTTGGTAAGTTGCCAAGGGCCTGAGTTGAATCCCCAGTTCTGAAAAAAAAAAAAAAAAAAGATTGACTTGGGCCAAGATATAGCTCAGCAGCACAAGCACTTGCCTGGCAAGTGAAGGTCCAGAGTTTGATTCCTATACAAAAAGAAAAAGAAAAAGATTGTCCTTTTTCTATTATGTATTCTTCAGTTTTCAATGATAGTTCTTTTACTTCCTTGGGTAATTTTCTCCTAATTATTTTATTTTATTTAGTTAGTATAAATGAGATTATTTTCTTTTTCATTAAGTTTTTTTACTTAATAATGTACATAATATCTGATATTTAGTCAAAAAACACAAGGCATAAAAATAAAAAGCAATATATAATCCATAACCAGGAAAGATAGTCTATAGAATGCCAAAAAATGACAGAAATTGAATTAGCAGTCAAGAATTACAAAACTACTAATAAGAACCTCACTCTAGTTAGGGTCATGACATAATGAAATAAGCAGAATAAAAACTACACCAAAACCATAGTAATGAAATTGCTCAAACTACTAGCAAAAAGAGGATCTTAAAAGTATGGAAAATATCCACATTGACTAGAAGGAGGATCAAAAGGTCACACTTCTTGCAAGAAACAAAACAAATCATAGGAGAATAGAACAACATATTTAAATTACTGGGGGAAAAAGCTGTCACTCTTGATCTCTGTATTAACATATCTTTCAAAACTGAAGAGTGAAAAAATGCTCACAGATTGTTATTTAATACAAAATGTTAAAGAAATTTCTTTATGCAGGTGAAACAAATTGTACGAAAGGAAATTTGTATCTAAACCAAAAATAGCAAATATTATTAAAAATAAGATAATTTCCTCATTTTTGACATTTTTAAAACATAACATTTAAAGCAAAAGTAAATACAATGATTGTCAAGAGTCTTAATGCCAGAAATGTAGAGCTAAATTAGCACTAAGTAAATGTCACTGTTGGCCATCATAATAAGCTTGGAAGAAAAATCTTGAAAAGATAAAACCTGATTCAAGACAACTTAAATTTACTTAGAAGAATAACCATAAAGAGAACACAGTACAATGAACAATAAACAACAAAAATTCACAATGCCAAACACCCATTCAATTTCACAGAGCACCTAAGCATGTAGAAAAAGAATAAAACCAAGAGAAAGTATAACCAATAGGAACAGATCCACAAATAACAGAGATAATGGAGTTGACAGACAAGGACCTTAAAAAAATTTAGGGCACAAAGATTAAGATTTTAAAATCATATATATCATATGATTTTATAATATAAAATAACATTTGATATGAAAATATAATAATGACATTAACAGCAGATTAGGTATTGCACTGCATAATATGGGGTTGTGAGAAATGAGAGAATTTTAAACGTATGCCATAGAAATGTTCAGCATCTCATCCTGATTGTAGCAATGATTACCTATTTGGATACAGGTTTTTAACTTTATATTTTCACTTGTACATATTTTTCAAACATGTTAATGACATTCATCATAGAGAATTGGTATCTATACATAATATATTCAAATTCTTTTTTGACCATTCCTTCCCCTCCAAGCATTCTTCCTTTTTCCCTCTCTTTACAAAATCTTTATTACCAGTTTTTCCTCCTATTCCTTTTTCCTTTCCCATTCTTTCTTTTATCCCTCCACCCTCTCTTGTTCCCCTTCTCCTTTGAACATTTTCCTCCTACTTTTCAATATCCTCTATTATGTTTCTTGTCTATCCTTTAGAAGTCACATAAATACCACAAAACAATGTGGTATTTAAACTTGCGTGTTGTGCTTATTTCACAGATGATTTTGAGGTGCATCCATTTTCCTTCAGATGACTCAATTTTACCCTTCTTTGAGGAAGAATAGTGCTCTATTTTATATTAATACATTTTCTTTATTCATGCATTGGATGATGGATATATGAGCTCTTTTGGCCAACTTTTTACACCCAACTTAACTGAACTAGCATGATGCCGGGAGTGGGGGCCCCACCTGAGGATTGATTCCAGCAGCATAAGCAGCAGAACTGGAGAAGCAGAGGAGAAGCTGTTAGGGAGCTATTTAGAAGCTGTTGGGGAGCGGTTGGAAGCTGCTGGTTCTCTTGGGCTATTCTGGAGGAGCTGGTTGCACTGGCTTTCCTGATGAACTTGGCTGTTCTTTTTGGAAGAGGAGCTTGAGACCTTGTTGTCACTGAGAATGGCTATGGTTCACTTTGGGGAAGCTCTGATCCTCATCTTGAGCAATGCTTCCTGCCTCCAGAGGGGAAGATGGTGCACTGCTCAGCCTTCTAGAAAAGCAGGCCACATTGGCTTTCCTGATGGGAACTCAGTTTTCCTCATCCTCAGAAGAGCTCAGAACCCACTTTCACTTAGGATGGCTGTAGTACTTTTTGAGAGAGCTCTGGTTCTTACATTAAGCATTGCTTCCTGGCTCCAGTTCAGATCCCTCATCCTACTAACCCAAATCCTTCCTTCTACTGGCACATACTTCCTAGCTGCCACCACTGGCCTTGGGCCTTCCCAGTGCAGATCCGTGAAGTGGGCCTGCATGACACTTTGTCATGGGCTCTAGATCTTCAGCTGACTCGTGCAGGGCCTTATTTTGGGATCCTGGCCCTCAGCTGAATTCCTTGGTCTTTTTCTCATTTGTTTGTAACCAATAGAGGTTTAAACAAATAAGCGTATGCACTTTTCAAATCTGTAGTCCAATAAAGACATTTATTGAATTTAACATAGCT